TGTTCAGCTCCCACCAGCCCTGCTGACTCCTCTCAGAAAGCGCTGTCCTCTCCCTATTGGGGCAAGTCTTTGAAAGGTGGCTTCTTTCGGAAGCAGCCGCCACCTGGAGAAGCCTTTACCGTGGCTCCATTGCCTACTAACCTCCACATTCCTGGCAGCTGCCCCTGGATATGCCCAGTCCCCAAGCCAGACTGTGCAGTGTCTGCAGGAATGAGGGACAGAACTGTGAAGGGGAGGAGCTCCTCCCCCACACAAGGCTCTCAGGGGCAAAATCTCCCCCAAAGTGAACTGGAATTAATAGGTTAAAAATGAAGCAGAGTCTCCCAGGGTCTCTCACAGATGCTCTGGTATTTCCCGCACCTACTGGCCAATTTGACTGACACACAAGGCAGGGTTTGCTGTATGTTTGTTCTGAAACTGCATTTATGTCTTATTGGTTTCAGTGTCTCTGCCCAAATCCCTTGGCCTCTGATAACCCCCAGGTAATGTTGGTGTTTCCATTTAAAACAACAATTTTACACTGTTTCCTCATTCTGAAGTCTATTTCTCACATTGTTTGAAAGCATTATTCAGTCCAGTTTCTTTTAAAAACTGCTCATATTGTGATCAGATTGAGTAACATTTTCAAATACTTTCCAAATCATCAGAAATATAACTTAGTCTCCAGATGATGAAATTATGTGTGTGTGTGTGATAATCCAGCTCAGCCAGGGAAGGATTCTTGTAATATGGACACAAATATGAATTTTCAGGCAGATAAGTGCAAAAAATAATTATGAAACATCTAATGAAAATGTCTCCTCTGCAATACGGTTGACTATATATTACCACATTTGTCTTACCAAACTGCATGGGAAAACAGAACCAGCAAAAATTTTGGAAGCTTGAAGCTAATACATTCAGTTTATGGAAATTCTGCATCTGACAATGTTTTCAGTGTGCTTAAATGTAACAAAAACATTTGGGTTTATGGTTCATGTGCACTGTAAAGTGCATAATAAGGCATGATTTTGTATAGATTATCTGATGGAAAGTTTAACTAACCTTTTCTGGGGTACAGAGTGTATTCCTGTTCAGACGGCTACTACAGAGAACCTGTGTACCATGTGTGTCTTCGCTTGGCATACAGCTTCCTCCCTTTGGGAATTAACTACTGTACATGTTCACGTTGTATCTGTTCAGTCTTTTGGGTGCGACTCAAAATGAGTCTCCTGATCACTGATAGTCATTAATGAGCCTGTGCATTTTATGCAAAATTGGGTTGTTATCCCCAGAGAGCTGATCTAAGTCCAGTGTATTATTATTAAACATGCTAGTGCCCAAGGGCTCCAGGGTGCTGGGTGCTATACATAGCACAGATAAGAGACAATCCTTGCTCCGGAGGACGTACAGCCTGAACAACACACACACTTGAAGGAGGGGAGGGGAGGGAATGGGATGTCAGATGCCATCAAATCCATGTGGTGTGGAATTGGCCTAGTGTTGTGAATTATGGGTTTGTTGTTTGTTTTTCAGCTGGGAGCAGATGAGGGGTGAGGAGTGGCAAGAATGGTGGCAGCAGAGGTGGGAGGGGATTAGTAAAAGAATCGGAGTTCATAAATACAAGAGGGTAGGAAAAGGGTCAGTCACAGATCACCTGCCTGGTTGTGGTGAGCACCTGGTGTGAACCTGAAGAAGGGTCTGGCTATTGTTGAATGGCCTTATGGCAGAGGTGAGATTGAAGAAGGGTCTGGCAGTAGCTGTATGGCTTAGAGCAGGCAGATTTTTCCATGCATAATGGTAGAAAGAGTGGAGATGCATAAGGAAGAAGCTGATTGGTGGGAAGTAAAGGCTTGGAGCACTGGGACAAGCGAAGGCAGCAGCTGATGATATTATAGGTCACTATAATTACCCATGCCAGCTAAAACCAGTTGTAAACGCAATATAAGAGCGTCCACAAAGGGGGCTGCACTGCTTTAAATTAAATGGGTTTTAAGAAATTATTTTACTTAAACTTGTGCAAATTGCTGTGTGCAGAGCAAGCCAACATCAGCTGGGTAGGGTGGGACTAAATTGTGAAGGGGCTTAAAGTTAAAGACACGAAGGCTGGGTTTGATGGGGGAGGTGAAGGCACAGCCCATGGAGTATTTCAATGCACTTTCTTAAATCCATTTTCAATTTCAACTGCATAAGTGATTCTTCACTTCCACTTCTAAAAGCTGTGCTATAGTGTTGCTAGTATGGACAAACTGGAGCAAGGGTCTGAAGTAAATAGGATGGAATTCAATAAGGACAAATGCAAAGTACTCCACTTAGGAAGGAACAATCAATTGCACACATACCCAATGGAAAATGACTGCTTAGAAATTCCTTACTGCAGAAAGCGGTCTCGGGGTCATAGTGGATCACAAGCTAAATATGCATCAACAGTGCAACAATGTTTCAAAAAAAGCAAACATCATTCTGGGATGTATTAGCAGAAGTGTTGTAAGCGAGACACAAGAGCTAATTCTTCCGCTCTACTCCACGCTGATTAGGCCTCAGCTGGAGTATTGTGTCCAGTTCTGGGCATTTCAGGAAAGATTTCAGGAAAGATGTGGACGAATTGGAGAAAGTCCAGAGAAGAGCAACAAAAATGAATAAAGGTCTAGAAAACATGACATATGAGGGATGACTGAAAAAAATGGGTTTGTTTAGTCTGGAGAAGAGAAGACTGAGGAGGGAGAAAAATGGTTCTCCTTAAGAGACGATAGGACAAGAAGCAATGGGCTTAAATTTCCGCAAGGGTGGTTTAGGCTGGACATTAGGAAAGCTTCCTAACAGGATGGTTAAGCACTGGAGTAAATTGTCTAGGGAAGGTTTGGAATCTCCATCATTGGAGAGTTTTAAGAGCAGGCTAGATGAACGCCTAGATATTTAGATATTACTTAGTCCTGCTATGAGTGCAGGGGACTGGTCTAGATGACCTCTCAAGGTCCCTTCCAGTCCTGCAACTCTATGATTGATTCTATGCAAAGGCTGAAGAGAAAACAATGGCTGTTCCATTCCTAACCCTCACATCTCAAGCAGCCCTTGCTATTCATACTGTAGGCCCTCGTACTGCTCTGCCAATGTCTTTCAATCCTGATCCACGGTACTATCAGCTCAGTTAAACCAAGACTGAGCACCCTTCCCCTGACCTCTCAGTTCTGCACAAAACCTCACATCATTAGCCATATCTGCTGGGACTGGAAAAAGAGGGGGTGGGTAAGGTTGAGGTGCACTGGCAAAGTGAGTTAGGAAGTGGACTAAGAGACAATAACAAGCATGCAATTCCCATAAAAGATTATTCCTGCCCAAAGCCTGTGTTGGGAATTATTCAGTTCTTCAGAAGATAGGGTTACAGTGAGATATCTGGTGACCCTACAGAGCTAGAAACATGACCTTTTCACCATCAGAAAGGGAAATTCCCAGCTTCCTAATGGAACACCACCTTTTCTTCCAATCATAGCAGGACTGAGATACTGGACTTTAAAATTATACCATTTAAAGCTATTTTTAGAGGCATTAATGGACTCTACAGAGTTAACTAGACCTGTGTGGCATATGGAAGGTTCATTTTGTGAGAGATTTCGATATTTCAAATCTGGTTGTATTCCGAATTGGAACAAACACTGAATTTCTGAATTCTCAATGAAGAAAAATTCTATTTTGGATCCATCACAGTATTTTGTTTCAACAAAATTAAATGTTTTGTTTTTATTTCAATTTTTATTAAAAAAAATGTAGAAACAAAAAGTTATTTCAAAATGAAAACCAAAATGCTTCGTTCTGAGAACACTGAAACAGGCAGTTTTTACACTGTCTGAACTTTTCTCTGGTTTTCTTTTAAAATAAAATTCCGATGAAATCAATCTGAGTTCAGATATGGTTAGATTTGAAGGAAGTTTCTCTGACCAGCTTTAAAGTTAACTACAGCAGAGGGGTACAGTCTGGAGATATGGGTTACAGGTGGAGGGATCTGGAAAAAAGGTTCCAATGAAGGGCATGATTCACCATTGTGCTCCTCTTGTTTTGTGCCAGGTTAATCCACGGATTTCAGTGAAGTGACATTGGTATGAAACACAAGTATTGCAGGGTGAATCAAACTCCAAATGTTGACACTATACCTTTGTAAAATAGTCTTTCTCTAACATGTGGCACATATAGGATGTCATAGTGTGGTGGGAAGATTTTATTGCACTTGTCTGAGCTGCACCACTCGCGGAGCAGATTGAAGCAGATAAAACCTCTTATGATCACATATTCTATCCTAAGAACTATGGAACACACTAAAACTGGATTTTTTTTCTGTTAAAAAGTGTTTATCAGACCGGAACAATGACCCACACAGAGACAGCATTTTGAGTTCTGTGACCAGGAGAAAGCATGGAATCGGAAGTGGTTAGTGGAGGAGGGTTCCGCTGAACTTGGTTCTCAGATACTGGATCAAAAACACATGTGTGCTTGTATTAGATAACTTCTTTGAAAAAGGTTCTGTGCCTACTGTGGCAGGCAAGCCCGGCACTACTGGGATGAAAATGGGTCATTCCCCTCCACCCCTACAACTATCTTCCAGGGGCCCCAAATTATTGTCAGAAAGGCCAAAATATGTACAGTTATCCAGTGTTAAAGCTGCAGATTGGAGAGTCCTCAACCTTCATATAAATTATAAATCATAACAAAATAATGAGATGGTAGCCAAACTATTTTTTTAAACTCTTAAAATCCAAGATTTTCCAGGGGTCTATCCTGGAATCTTGTTTATTAACTAGTGACATCCAGGGCCTCCAAATAGTCATTTGTTCCCCCAATAATGGGACCTTAGAACCCTGTTTTGGCAGCCATGTGATTCCTACATTAGGAGTATGTAAAGATATGATATCGCTTCTGCACCAGGAAAGCAGTTTGATTTATGAAACTTACATTACATTTTGGCTTCCATGACCAATCCAGCCATATCTTTTAAAAAGTATTTGTCCTAAATCAATGTTTGGACTTACCACTGACGTTTATTGCTGGCAACACGATAGACATCTTGGGCCGTCTGGTCTTATTATGGGTGGTAGCAGGCAACAACAAGTGATCCTGGAAAATATGAAAAAATGTGTTACATTTGTATTGAAGCACTGAGTTGTAGAAATGCCTCTCCATTCTGTGCCACTTGCATTCCAGGTAAATCTATTTATGAAGGTTTGGTGATTTCATATTGCTAACAAAAGTCACAGCCATTGCCCATATTGTGTAACCAGAAAAAATCTCTATCAGGTATGGCAACATCAGAAAGCACCTTGATCCTCATGTGGAAGGGGATGGGAACTACTCTTAGGCCCCTGTTCAGTAGAGCCCTTAAATTTGTGATTCAGTTTATTTAACTTGTTGAGTCAGATTTAAGCATGTGGTTAAGTACTTTACTGAACTGGAGCCTTCACTGCCCATGCTGTTTGGTTTATGTCATCCTGTTAAATCTGTCATCTAATTGAAAAGGGAAGTCTTTCTTCCCTCTTTTTGATGAACTGTGCTGGGTTTACTGATTGGGAAAATGAAGACCGCGATGCCCAGAACCGGTAATGCTCAAGGAAGCACTATCAGCCCCTCGATTTCATGATAACAATATTCACTTAATTTTTGTTTTAAACAAATGTGAAATTGTTCGGTGTGAGTTTCAGGGTGGTCCTAGGGAGTTCTAAGCTAAGTCTTAGATGTATCTTACATTGGTGAAGTATTTTGCAAGATACCACAAAGAAAAAGAAAAACAGATTACTGTCCTTGCCAGTATAAAAAAAACAACTCAATAAAGAACTCTATTTAAAAATAACCATGGCTCTCAATCTACAACAGTCAATTCTGGCACTAAATACTAAAACCCCATAGTCAAGTATTGCTGAAGTAGTGACAAAACTCAGCAAAGGCCAACAACTCCACAGTAAAGGCTATTGTGAAAATCAACACAGAATATGTCTCCTGGGAATGACTTCATTATAAGCTCAGTGTTAGGTCTAAACTTCCTGGCAGTGTTTGTGTCATAATCTGAAGATTGTTTTTAAACACTAGTGCTTGAATCTCATGCCCTTGATTTTTATTTTTATTTTCAAAAGGAATTGTTCCTGGAAAGTTATAAAACTGAATATTATTTACTGAATACCTGAGCTGCTTCTTGGAGGACATAAGTAATTGATTAGCAGATTTAACTCAGTGAATCCTAGTTATCTTTTTGCTAAAGAATTTCAAGGTTGATGAAACATTCACACTTTAATTTGGTTTTATTTTTGTCGGTATTATTGTAGCATCCTAGGAGCCTCAGGCACAGACCAGTTGTCAATAGTACCCTTTATTGATTTTGAATAATAAAATGAGAGGAGACCCCTATCTGATCGTTCTAGGACTGCTGGATAAATATTTAGAAATATTTAGCAGCCCCATTGCAAATAATCATACAATAATCATACAAATCAGCATAAAAGTAAAGCAAAATCCCATCTTTCCTTGTACATTGCCCACAACAGTATGTGCTTCCTCAGTTGTCCTCAGTGCTGATGAAAGATGCTGGATTGAAAGGTTACAGCAAACACCTCTTTCAGTACCCTGAGCAGATATACAACAGGCAGTGCCCGTGCCAGTTTATGTTACAACCACCCCTAATCAGCAACTGAAGCCAGTGCAGACATCTCACATGTGATCTGTACAAATTCCATTACGTCACAGCTGAGTTCTAAATCTTGACTCTAATCTAGAAGTACAATGGATTGGAATCTAGCTAACTCAGAGAGGAATTACCTTCCACGATTCTCCAGGAAAGCTACATTACACAGTGCTGATGCAGCTGGACAGACCCTGGCTCTATCTATCAGCCACAGAGAATACAAGTGGGACCCTGGCTAAGGAACTACTTGCCAGAAGAGAACAGATTATGTCCAAACCTGATGTTCAGATCAAGGTGTAAAACACACCTCTTCTATGAAGTCTCTACCAGATGCAAATCTCTTGCAAAAAAATTATATAGAATCCTGCTCTTCTGTCCAAGAAGAACAAAGAGGAAGAGAACAGAGTGCCCAGTGTCTGGTTGGGCACAAATACACCAAAAAACAAGTTAGTGCTGTTTAGATCATTACAGTCCAAACAACATAGCAAAGAAAAAAAAAGAGACTCTCAATGTCATGACAGTGTGAGAAAAGTCATGTGACTTGCATGCTCACATTCAAACAGGATTTGGAGTTTTCATACAACTCCACAGCACTCCCATGGGGACTTTGAAGAAGAAAGGTGTGTGAAAGGCTATTATGTCCAAAGCCCAAAGTCTTGGCCAGTGCTAATTCTGCAGTTGCACCAATCAGTTGAAAGTTGGGGACAGCCCAAATTTTGCCCAAATTCAGGAGTGTTTTGCAACTTGCCAGGAGCCAGTGGATTTCACCCCAATTTGTAAGCATCTTTATCTTTGACAAGGAGATGTGTTGGATTTGCCATGGTCTATCTTGATCCAAAGAGAGAGCCCTGTATTGAAGGTTAGGGTAGCAACAGATAGACCCTGTGGCCTATCTTTGGCCTTTGGTCTATACTGGCTACCTATGATGTTAGTCATCTGATTGGAAATCTGGAGTTGTTAAAAATCAAGAGGAAAACAGACTCCTCCCTTCTGAGGTATAATAGCAACCTATCAATTTTAATCTTCAAGCCACTTTGCCAGCATCAACTTTAATCAGTCCTCACAATGTTCCTGTGGGAGAGGTAAATATTATTTATTATCCCCATTGTGGAGATGGGGAACCTCAAGAGTGGGGTAAAGTTACTTGCCCCAGGCTACAGAAGGAGTCAGTGGCAGAGCTACAATTAAAATTTAGCTGCCCTGATTCTGAGTCCCATACTCCAGCCACTAGAGCAAACCCCCTCTCTATGCTCTAGATGTCTTACAGTAAAATTAGGTCTATATTTTATATTTGGGGATTGGTGGATATCCTTATCTGCTCTGGTGCCTTGAGGACCTCCAGTTTCCCTAGCTTTACATCCTGCCCCCCTTAGGGCTGCTAAACATTACGTGCCCAGATATTGCTGATATTTTCTGCAGTCTTGGACAAACTCACAAAGATGTCAACACAGTCTCAAAAGCATCCATGGAGAAGGATGGCACAGACAGCACTCTCTTTAGAGATGCTCCTCAACAGACAGTAAGACAATTTTCTCTGTTCAGCCTCTTACGTACAAGAAGCTGTTGGCTCTGTCTCCATAACCCTTGCTGCAGCCCTAGGCATCATTATTTGAAGTGTAAGACACAAACACCTACCCATGCAAAAAATCAATGTAAAGATAAGTGATTAGAAAGAAATGAGACATTTAGAAAAATTCGTAAAAGTATCTCTGTGCAGCATGTGATACATTGGGCAAAGACATTATTCTGCTAAACTCCTAAAGCATTTTTAATTTCACACCAGAAGGGAAAAAAGAAACAATTATTCACCTCTGATTTTAACACTGTAGATATGTATATCTAAAATCAAAATGTTATTTGTAGGCTTGGCAAAATTCATTTTTTTTTTGTAATTTCAATGGATAGTATCAATTTTTATTTTAAAGCATTTTTCCCTGATTTTTTTCAATTTGAATTTTCACAGTTGCAGGAAATTAAGGGTGCGTGATAGACAATAATTATTTAATGACAGTAGATGTTGACAGTGGGGCTGCAGGAAAGATCCCTGCATGGCTGAGGGGCCTGAGACATCTGGGCACAAAGTTCTGGAGAGGTTGCAGTCCTGCCCCACCAGAACAGAGACCCCAGCCAATGCCACACTGGGAGGAGAACCCATGGGGGCAGGGAAGGCCTTCTCACTGCTGAGCAGCTCCAACCCAGGGATGGCTCCAGCACTTGCAGCTGGTGAGAGAGTGAGCAGGGCTGTGACATAGGGGCTACCCGCAGAGGGCTCCCTGTGTGGCTAAGGGCCCAGGATAATGAATCTCTATGGGTGAAAGGTGCTGGGGAGGCTGCCTTGCTGACTGCCATCAATGTTTTTTTCTCCCAGCCAATTTCTGTGCCACGTGAAATTGATGTTTAGTGGACTAATGATTTAAATCAAATCCTTCCAAGCCTAGTTATTTGTGATACTAATACATGAGATAAAACTGAAAAGCAGTAAAAACAAATTCTAAAAGCCAGCATCTGCTTCGTTCCTGAAAGTGTCAGCCAGAAGCAGAATAAATGACATTAGCCTACAACAGATGGCTCTGGCTCAGGCCAAGATATACACTTGGATGAAATGACAATTTCAATAGACGATGCAAAGCTGACAGAGCTGGCACGACCATTGGAAAAATAACAGCCTGGAAAGACAAGATTTCCAAGTGAGACCCTGGCTCCAGCATTCTCCTTTTGTTAACAATCACCTCTCCAGCTTGGTGATAGAAAAGCCAGATGACCTAAATATTCAAAAATCCATCCATACAGACAATATCTTTCTTTAATAAGTTCGAAATACAGTAATTCAGGATTTTCTGGGGCTAAAAGATGTTAACTGTTACTTATTACTCTCCCTGTAATACTCATATTTATCAAGCCACTGACCTCACAAAACAGTCAGGGTCCTGCACAGTTAGAATATAATTAATTGCTGCCTGTAAATCAGCATACGACACACAACATCATGAAACATTTACAAGCTATTTTCCCTATAAAATGGAATGTCTAATCAGATCCTGTTACTCTTTAAGCCACTCTAGTGTCTGCCACCTGCTTCCAGACACAGCCCTAGGGACACTACAAGTGTTCAACAATGCGATTCCCGAGCATGGTGCAGGAAAGTGAATGTGGTCATTAAAGAATCTAAGGATGTAAGATCAAAGGTAAACTGCTCCAATTCTGGTAGTTATACTCTGTATCTTTAAATATCCCCTGTAGCTTCAAAAGGAAATGGAACTCTTTTTCACTCTGCTAGGATATTTCAGTGTTGCCAGCTCCTGCTGTTTTAGTCTAAGTTTTGTGATATTTGGGGTGTTTCTTAAAACTCCAGCTTCTGAAGTTATGTGAGAATATGCGATAATGTGTGAGAATCTCAGCTTTTGTTTTAAAAAAGTAAATTTCTAGCCCTCATAGCTACAGAGCA